GTGTTCATGACTAACCTTTTGTTTAGGTTGTCTATTATTTTTATTTTTATCTTTCTTAGGTTGAGCTCTAGGTGGTTTACGGTTGTGCTCAACTTTTTCTTTATTTTTAGGTTCATCAATCTTCCTAAAACCTATTCCTTGTTTAGTGTATTGCATAGAATCAAAAACGAGATTAAGATCCTTATGTGGTTTAATAAATTTCTTCACCGTGTTTTCTAATTCAGCAACTTGTTCTTTCAAAGCTATGCAAGAGTCACAATGTTTTGTAGAGCTCTCGGGTTTGTCGGCGCTTCTTTTACCATAAAATTTGTTTTCAACTTTTAGTTTTTCGTTTTCCTTTTGAAGTTTTTCAAACTCAATTTCAAGATTAGAAAAACGTTTCTTTAAAGCTTTGTTTGTTTTAGAAGAGCTGACAAACTCGTCATAAAGCTCTTGGAGAGCTTCTTGCATTTCTTCAAAAGAATAAGAACCGGTAGAAGAAATACATACCTCTTGGTTTTCGTTGTTGGCGGACTCCTCTTCTTCTTGAGCTATGAGACAAAGATTTGCTTCCTCTTCTTCCTCTTGTTCGCTTGATTCATCTCCGGAGTCTCCACCCCAGGAGATGTATGCTCTTTGCTTTTTGAAGTGCTGAGCATTCCTTCCGCTTTTCGGGCATTTGTTCTTGATGTGCCCGGCTTCACCACATCCATAGCACACAGGGCCATCCTCAACCTTCTCTTTCTTTCTTAGAAGTTTACAAAACTTCTTCATGACAAGCTTGACTTCATCATCGTCGCTTGAGTCATTCATCGTTGGTTCTTTGAAGGCTTTTAATGCTATGCCTTTCCTTTGATCATTCAAAGACGGGTTAAGTATAGTAGATTCATAGGTTTTTAAGTTACCTCTTAAACCGTCGATGGTGACATTTGATGTGCCGATTGACTCATAGATGGCATCGGCCTTAGATCGCCATTCGGATGTCAAGCTCCGTAAGATCTTTCGTACAAGATCCCTGTCGGTATAAGTCTTCTTCAATGCATGAAGATCGTTGACTATCTTGGAAAATCGGTCGAACATGTCGTCGATCTTCTCGTGCTCCTTCATCCTGAACATCTCATATTCTTGGGTGAGGAAGTCAATCTTGGCTTCACGTACTTGGTCCGTTCCTTCGTACGTCACCTCAAGTTTATCCCACATCTCCTTGGCGGTTGAGCAGCAGGAGATCTTGCGGTAGTCATCAGGATTTACGGCACAATAAAGCATATTTATTGCCTTTGCATAATTCTCGACCTTTTTGATGTCCTCGGCATCAAACTCGTCTTCGGTCTTGGGGATCAACTTGTCTCCGACTTTCTTCATCGGCACCTCTTCCCCGTTTTTGATAACCAACCATAATTGGAAGTTCGTGGAACGAATATAGATTCTCATTCGTTCTTTCCAATATGTATAATTGGTTCCATCAAAAAGAGGTGGCCGTGTGGTTGATTGCCCTTCACCTATTCCTGCATACAAATTT